GATGAAGCTTCTCAGCAAGCAGCAAGAAGTACATGTGTCCAAAGCGGAATGGTATACGGACGAGTGGAAAGCTGACAACTATATCAGTGAGAGCACAGAAGCCCAGAGTGAGCAGAAAGGGCAGGAGTCAAGTGAGGTGAGGATAACCCCTGGCACATGGCACCTGGACTTTTACTCAGTTTAGGATGCGCCATTAACGTGCCCCAGCGGGAATACCACGGGTTCCTAGTCTGTATCTTATCTTCAGCCATGAAACGGGCTAAGGCAGTGATCTCCCACTTTGCTCATTTAGACAGTGTGCCGCCTCTTCCTAGGAAGACGAGAAAAGGCATAACACAAGATAAATAAGGTGTAGATAAATAAATTGTAGAAGAAAATGCTAATGATAAGATTAATAACATTAAATTTGGCTTTGTTCTTATAGAAGATACTAGCCTGAAAGGATTGGGTTTTATAGTAGTTTAAGAATAGTTAGCTATCATTTAGAATAGGTTTAAGAATAGTAAGTTTTCATCCCTTCTATCTCCTTGTTTTTAAAAAATTGTTATTTATTTTTTTAGCTCACAAAAGAAGTTCCAAGATATGGCTATAACAGCAAACTCATCTTGGCAATATCCATGTCGGTAGTAGTGACAATTTGGGTTATAATTCTCTGTCTCATTGAGGTAAGGACAATAATTAATTCAGATTCAGAACCCACAAACTGAGAATCAAATCCACCTTTCCACCTACTACTACTTGATTCTTCTCTTTAGTCATGAGGACTGACATACACTCTGTTCTTTTACTGAAAAGTATATTCCTAGGATGTTTTTTTGTGGGGTTTCTTTGGCTGCGTTGGGGCTTCATTGCGGTGCACGGGCTTCTCATTGAGGTGGCTTCTCTTGCTGTGGACTACGGGCTCTTGGAGCGTAGGTTCAGGAGTTGTGGCACATGGACTTAGTTGCTCCGCAGCATGTGGGACCTTCCCAGACGAGGGATCGAACCCGTGTCCCCTGCACTGGCAGGCGGATTCTTAATCACTGAGCCACCAGGGAAGTCCCCACAGGATTTTTAAAGGAACTCCACTCCCAGGAAATCTCTCTGGAATTGGATCCATGATAACAAGCCATTGGACTATTTTGACAAGTTAAGTTTATAAGAAGGCCAGAGTTGACATGATAGTAAAATTCCTTCAACTCAAAAAACTATGCTAATTTGATGTACTCACCAGTCACTGTCATTCTACTTTTGATTTCTTTCCTTGTTGGCTGAAATGATGAGAGATATACAATCTCCAAAGTCATGGAGCTATCAGTCACCCTGGGAGAGGTAAAAGGACATGCCTAAAAGATAAAAGTGTGATCTTTTCAATTCCTTAGGTTTACTTAGCATCTTTCTTCTCCGGTGTATTAGGAATTGTGTAGGTAGGTTCCATTAAACCACTGCAAGTAAAATCCTGCAGCAGGCTACCCTAAAGTATGTCATATTTATTGTAGCCTATTCCTGGAGGTAGCCTGTTTACCTTTTGTTCAGTTACACAATGGTTTATTACTTTTCCCCACAGGCAGTTGCTAACATTAAAAGAGTGGTTTTAATAAGCTGACAATCTTGATTCTACCCTACGAATCCAACCTACTTTATTTACCTTTTCTCTTGTAATGGCAGCCCTCCATTCCAGCCAAAGCAGCTCCTCACTATACGCTAGTAACACCATACCCATTCCTACTTTTGTCTGTGCCTTTGCCTATCTAAAATTCCTTTATTTTGCTTTGCCTGTGGAAGTCTTATGAATCTCTGAAAAGCCAACTCAAGTTCAGATATCTTTCTTCGTAAAGACTTCCCTGAATACTCCAGCCCTCTTGATCCTAGTCCTGTGAGGTTTGTCACCATTTCTTAGGGGCCATAGCAAAGCAGTCCCCTCCCCTCAGAACTCACAGAAGTGGTAAGCAGTTTTTTAAAAGGCAGCCCCCCACGAGAGAAACACCAAGGTTAGCACATCATGGAGCTGAGCAGAGATGTGTAACGACCAATGGCTTCCTGGCCTATCAGACTTGAAAAGAACCTGACATGATATACTAACTTCTAAAGAGAAATGTGTCTATCTGCAGGAGGGTTGGTCAGTAGTGAAAGCATAGAAAAGGTGAGGAGAGACCAACATGGTCAGTGCCCATCCTCACATTGCCCGAGAGTAGAGATGGCACCTTAGGCAGCATAACTGAAGAGTCAGGCCCACTAGCCAGGCTGTGCCTGTTGAGGAGATGGACGGAACCAGCTACCTCAGGCCTTCCCATTAAATTCTGGATTCAGCTGATTCCTTTCCTAATTCTGTTCTCAGCAAGTAGCCTTCGATTGTGTGATTGTGCTTTAGAGTGCCACGGAGGCCTGTCCCACAGAAGGTCATTCTCTCATTGTGTAGACACGGATGCCCTGTGTGTAGAACAGATGTACTTCTCATTGTCAAGTAATAATTTGGCATTCTGATTTTTGAGCAGTCCTGTGATATTGATAAAGTGAGACTGCCACAACAGGAAGACCTGAGTTCTCTCTTGGTGAGGAAGAGTATGATTTCTGAGCCTAGGAGGCTGGGGACTGGCATGGGGTCAGCTTTCTAGTCATTGGCCATTGCCCAGACTGTAACCTCTACATCTCCAGGTGGCATATGGCCTTTTGCTTTTTTAGAATTTCTGGAAAGTCCCCTTTTTATTGTTTTTAACTTCTATGTAGTTTAACCTTGCATTTGTTTTGTTTTGTTTTGTTTTGGCCTGCGGGATCTTCGTTCCCCAAGTAGGGATTGAACCTGTACCCTCGGCAGTGCAAGCGAGGAGTCCTAACCGTTATTTCCTCTCTCTCAACTTATACGATAAGCTTTTTGAGGACAGGGGCCATGCAGTGCTCTTCCTATGGTAGACAATAATGGGGTTCAACGGAAGAGAGATGAGGCGTTATGTCAATTCCACAGTGAGGAATAATGCAGCCGAATATTTATTCAAAGTAGCATAGAGTCCAGCAATAGACACATGTGTTCTTAAGACTTTTGAAATGTCATGTTTTAATATTCCAATCAGTGGAAGAAAATGAATAAATGGTGATAGAATAGCTGCCTAACTCTTTGGGGGGGGTAAATAATGGCAGATCCCCATTTTTCATCTGAAATAAACATATTTCCATACATGTGAAAAAAAGACCACATAAAGGTATTAGAAGAAAATAAAAGCAATATTTTTTATAATCTTATGGTGGGAAAGAGCCTTCAGAGCCTGATGCCACAAGCAGAGCCTTTGATATATTCCACCGTCTTGTCTGTGACACCAGCTTAGCACTGATTCATGCCAAGCGTAAGAGGAAGGGTTTTCCATATATTGTCCGATTTAATGCCCACAGTCTTGTGAGGATGATATTACTATCCCTCCTTCATAGATGAAGGAGATCAACGTAAGGCCCCAGTGGCCAAACCGTTTAAAGCAGAAACCAGTTTCACCCGACTGCAAAGCTTGTGCTCCCTACTCCACTTTTATTGTGTCTCCTTAGAGACAAAAACACTGGAAAGATTTGAAACACTGAAATTCAATGAAAGCCAGTATTTCTTTACTATGAAGAGTTGTTTGTTTGTTTGTTTGTTTCTTTGGGGGTGGCGGGGTTTGACCATGCTGTGCAGCTTGTAGGATCTTAGTTCCCTGACCAGGGATTGAACCTCAGGCCACAGCAGTGAAAACGCCAAGCCTTTACCACTGGTCCACCAGGGAACTCCCAAGAGTTTTATAAGGCAACAACAAGAAGGGAAACAGTCCAGGGGAAAAGGGGGCAAGGGCTCTGAAGAGTAGGAGGTGTGTTGACAGTCAGCCACCATATCTGTCCGTCCTCTCCTCATGGCTCATGTGGGGTGGGTTTTGTTAGCGAGGCCTTTGTCACCTCATGACGTAAAAATCATCTCTAATATTTTCTTCAAGTACTTTTATATTCTGTCTAGAATTTGTTGTATTTCTTTTTTAGTGTGGTTGAGGTAGGGGATCTAACTTTTTCCCCCTACATGAAGATCTAGTGGTTTTCAAATCTTTCACTGAATGGTTTATTCTTTCTTCCCTGGTCTAAAATACTATCTTCATCTGGACTCTATTCTGTGATCCAGTTATCTTGTCCTGTACCAGTACCAATATCACACTGCTTAATTCTAGCTGCTCTATAACATATTTTATATCTGGTAGGGCAAGGTCCTACTGTTTGACCTTCTTTTTCATACATTTCATAACTATTCTTACACATATTCTCTACCAAGCGTCAGCTGGCTAGGTTTTATTTAAAAATTATTTTGGATATAAATGGATTGCATTGAACTTGTAGGTTAATTTGAGGAGAACTGACCTCTTTACAACATTCTAGGAGGATGGTATCTCATGCCATGTAAGTACTTCTTAATGTCCTTCAGAAAAGTTTTAATATTTTCATCACATAGGTCTTACAAGTTTTTGGTTAAGTTTATTCCTAGGTACTTTATGCATTTTTATGGATATAGTAAATGGGATGTTTCTTCTGTTTTTTAGTTAGTTATTTGTGTTATATGGGAAAGCTATTGAGGCTTATATGTTGATCTCTTGATTTTGTATGGAGCCATCTTCCTCATGCTACTTCCAATAAAATTTCGGTTGATTCTTTTGGTCTTTCTAGGTCCCTCATTTCGTATGCAAATATGTTTGTCTCTTCCTTTCCAATACTTCGTTTTTCTTATCTTACTGATTCACACCTCCTCCACAATGGTCAATAGTAGCAGTAATCATGGGCAACCTACTCTTGTTCTTGACTTTAAAACAAAGCTTAGGGGCTTCCCTGGTGGCGCAGTGGTTGAGAGTCCGCCTGCCGATGCAGGGGACACGGGTTCGTGCCCTGGTCCGGGAAGATCCCACATGCCGCGGAGTGGCTGGGCCCGTGAGCCATGGCCGCTGAGCCTGCGCGTCCGGAGCCTGTGCTCCGCAACGGGAGAGGCCACAACAGTGCGTAGGCCCGCATACCGCAAAAACAAACAAACAAAAAAACAAAAACAAAGCTTAGGTTTCTGCTAGATACTTTTATTTTCTTTTCCTACTTCTAAGAGTTTTTATTAGGAATTATCTGTTGAACGTTATCTAAAACAGTCAATAAAATATATCGCCGGCTGCACGCAAGACCCTAAGTTAGGTACTGTGGAAGAGTCAAAGGATTTTTAAACAGGGCAGAATTCCTTTCCTTAAAAAAGTTCTCAACTCACTGGGTAGATAACATTTAAAGTGAAAAGGAATGAATAAGGATTTGGAAATAGTTGTAATGGATAATCATGATCATGTTTTCTTTCAAAACAGACTTATTCTCATAGGATAAAAAAAGAAGAGGAAGATAGAAAAATAAGCAGAAGGTAAATATTGGTCTCTGAAAGCAGAATTTTACAACTAGAGGAGAACTTAGAACTCATCTATTTCCATTTCCTCACCAAAGGCCGGAAGAATGTTGAATTACCCTAATGGTTTACCCTAGTTTATTTAACAGCAGAATTAGCTCCCCAGCCCAAGCTGAGTTAGAACAGGACTTGGCACAGACACATCTGCTTTCACTAGTGCTTTAAGGGAAGAGGGTGGACGGGGAGGGGTTTTGGCTGTACCTGTTCCTGCTGGCCTGACGCCCGGTTCCTAGGCATCAGGCCAGGCCAGAGGCCTTCTAGGAGGCTCTGGGGTCGGGAGGGCCACATGGTTGGGGATTTAGGGGTTGGCCTCACTCCAAGCTGATGAAAGGTAGAACATATGAGTCCCCTTCTGTAAAGTGGCAAGAAAACTTCCCTTCTCATCCTACTGTTTTTCAGGCCCCTACTCTCTACTCCCTTTATCCAAACCTCATAGAATTTTAACCGGGAGAAACTTTAGATTGTAGTTTGTCTCATCCTCTTAGAATAAGGAACTGGAGAAAGAGAAGGGGAAAATGTCTTGCCCCATGGTCATACTGCTAGTGATTAGCAAAAAGAAGATGGTCCCTTTGCACTGAGGACTTCTCTACTGATCCCACTGTGCTTGGGCTGTGAGCTACGTTTTATGTCACAATTCAGTAGACACATACTATATGGACAGTAGTTTCTGAAACACACTTATTGTGCACTCTGATTTTTTTTCTATTCTATTTGTATTCAAAAGGAGTATTTTGTGCTTCCCTGCTGGTCATGGCCTTTAAACTGATTTCACAATTCACTGACACCTCAGTGATACCCTGCAGTATGAAAGTCAGAGAGCTATAGATAACTTTGTTCGTTGGGTTCAGGTGTTTACTTGGTGTGATTCAACTTATAGGATAGAGCAGCCAGGAAAATAAAAGCACCTTCTCCCCACACCCACACCGCCAGCAAATGCTGCATGTGCGACTATGTCCGAAGCGGACTGGTGTGAAGCGCGTCTAGAGAGTAACGTGTTTCTGCCCAGCGCCGTTGTGCAGTGTTTTCACCGCACGAGGGCACTTGGCCAAGGGCCAGGAAAGGTGAACGCGGCTGAAAAATCCTGCCTATACTCCATGCTAAGCCACATGCAGTGGTCTCCCCGGAGACACTGGGGGTCCATTTTGGACAGACACAGAGAACTTCTGGAAGGCCAGCATGCATGGAATGATTTTCAAGATCCCGGCTCTGTGGTGATTTTGTTCATTGTGATTATGGACTGAGGTACCCATTCAGTCCTAATAAGACCAGAGATAACACATTGTGAGAGAGATGAAAAATGACATGTAACACTAACTGTGTGTGTTTTCCTCCAAGGGGCTTTTTTCGATTTCAGCTACGTAAGAGAAGCTCAGGGGAAAGTGAGAGTCAGGTAAATTTGAGGAGCATAAAGTACTGTGGCCAGAGAAAGCAGGGGAGATGCAGAATTAATATTTCTCTTTCTGTGTTCTAGGAGGGCTTTTTCGGGAGAAGGCGGCCACTTTGGCTTAGGGATATGTATAGGCCCCTCAACGCCGCATGCATGGAACACATGGCACACAAGCTACACGACAGGGAGCCTTCTGAGGAGAATGAGATATTCTATAAGGATGCAGGGTAAATGATAGGGGACAATATAAAATTTTCGTCTAAAATGAGGAAATAAGGAAAACTATAATTGTTCCTTTCAAAATTAAAAGCCTTAGCATTATTCTTCTTACCCCAGGGAAGTCATCAAAGCCCCAGCAGAGAAGCTTCTGGCTGCCTATTGGATTGATGAAGAGGAGGGTGAGGAAAGTTAGCACACGAGACTGCCACAGAGTGAGCCCTGTTCTGACTCAAGCCACCTGCAAATTTTATTTTCTTCTTATATTGGCTTCTTATATTGGCTTCTCAGCATTACTTGTAAAAATACTTTTTCTGGTATTAAAATGTATAAATTCATA